ATTTTAGAGCTTGTTTTATGCCGCTTTTACTGAAAGTAAAATTTTGGCAGGTTCAGCGATTTCTGATTTATGTCCGATGGAAGACCCATGAGGAGGTATGCTTTTTTGTAACACCAAGATGGCCGTTTATTTCGAAAACGATTAACTTTTGCAAAAAATTGTCTTATCCAAATCCCAAGTTAATTTTGGCTAAGAATCGCGTGGTGGTAACAGATTAAGCATAATTTTCTTATCTTGCTGGGAAATGACACTAACTTTGTTATTTTAAATAAGACTCCCATATTTTTATTGTACAATTCGATTTTAGAGCTTGTTTTATGCCGCTTTTACTGAAAGTAAAATTTTGGCAGGTTCAGCGATTTCTGATTTATGTCCGATGGAAGACCCATGAGGAGGTATGCTTTTTTGTAACACCAAGATGGCCGTTTATTTCGAAAACGATTAACTTTTGCAAAAAATTGTCTTATCCAAATCCCAAGTTAATTTTGGCTAAGAATCGCGTGGTGGTAACAGATTAAGCATAATTTTCTTATCTTGCTGGGAAATGACACTAACTTTGTTATTTTAAATAAGACTCCCATATTTTTATTGTACAATTCGATTTTAGAGCTTGTTTTATGCCGCTTTTACTGAAAGTAAATTTTTGGCAGGTTCAGCGATTTCTGGGTTATGTCCGATGGAAGACCCATGAGGAGGTATGCTTTTTTTTATAACACCATGATGGCCCATCCCCATTATTTCGAAAACGATTAACTTTTGCCAAAATTGGTCTTATACAAATCCCAAGTTAATTTTGGCTAAGAATCGCGTGGTGGTAACAGATTTAGCATAACTTTCTCATCTAGCCGGGAAATGACACTAACTTTGTTATTTTCAATAAGAATCCCATATGTTTATTGTACAATTAGATTTTAGATCCATAGGGTCCGATGCATATTGAATTGTTCGCTTCATCTCAAAAATGAAACCTGATCTCATGTCAGGCTGCGGATTGTTTATACATACATAAAAAGCAAAACCGACGAGCAAGTGGTGTAAGCAATTCTAATTCCTCCGGTATCCGATAGTCTTAATTGCACTGCAATTCTCTGCTTGGCAATGGAAACATATATCAAATAATTTTCACATAAATAAAGAAAGGAATCCGCCTGAGTAAGGGGTTGAAACGAAATGCTAAGTAAATAGAGCAACGGAACCAGGATTCTGGTTGGACTCCTGCCAGGGAACTGGCAATTAAGAAAGCATATGCACTGGGTAGGAATACAGACACTGTGCATATTGCCAGAAAGAGGATTTCAGAACACATTTTGTATTTTTCGATGGTCTATCTTTCTTTATAGGTACAGGTTCTTGAAACTAGGACAGAAAAAACTACAAGCAAGATCCAACACTGATGACCCACTGGCAAGGTCTTTGGAGGTTGATTAACAACTTGAAACTGGCCACGTGTTATAAAAACTAGGGGATCACAATAGATTTACTTAGGTCGAGGTGCAGACGTCCTTGTAGCCTCCTCTTTTATCCCTAGCCCTAAATGAATAGAGACTACTCCCAACGATCAATTATAACTCTTTTGTGCTTCGCCATCATACTCACATCACGAAAAAAATGAGAAGATGCGACACCCAAACGAGCATGTGAATGGAAAAGCCAGCTACCATTGCAATATCCTTTAAGGGTTGATTGCTGTGAACAAAACAGATTAAAAGATCTCAGAAGCGATTTTCTAACTTAAGCTGATATTTTTAGCCAGCTTAATGCCCTAGTCAAAATTTGAACGTTAGGAGATTCCAGAGCATATAGTCAATTTTTATATAATGATCAGGAGGGTTGCGGAGCGGAAAAGGTGTTTATAAGATAATACGTGATTTTCAATTTGTACAATCCTGAAAAACTGCGCCACCGCCCAAAGTTAAGCGGCTTAATAAGCAGATATAGCGTCAACTGAGTATTCGATTTTTTTCTTCACTTGGGAGTTGGATTTTCTTTTAATGAGTCTTTGATCTTTCCAAAAGCTCGCATCATTCTTTGCCAAATCGAATTTATCCAAACAGCTTAAACGTCCAATAAATTTGGAGGAACACAATAACCGCACAATAATGAACTGTTGTGTCAGGTTCGTCATTACCTGATAGTCCAGGGTATCCATGGCTTATTCGGACCTATACCGGCTCTATCCCTCTTATTTCCTACTTTTTACAGACCATCATTACATTATGCAGTCCATCCAATTCAAATCCTTATCCTCTCCCGCAATTCCTTCTCCCTGTGACCTAATCCTTCCCCGGCCTAAGCACCTTTAAACGGTATTTCCTTCTTCGACCATCAAAAATCTGGAATTCCCTCGTCCTAACTATCCGAAATATCGCTTCCCTTATGCACCTCCTCTCCCTACATAGTCGACTTATCCACAGTTTAAATTTACTCAGTAATTATTATTTTTCTATGTTAATTTTCAGTGTAACTCATTTTATTTAGTTTTAACTCTTTTAGGTTTTGTTTCATATAAGTCCGTTGTTATATTGATCGCCACGACAAGGTTAGTTTTTGTGTAAAAATGTTAATAATTTTCACTTTGACCTATGCTTTATTCTAAGGGAACACTCCTGTCCCAGAATAATTTTTTTTCTTTCTTCTTCTTGCTGCTGCCGGACCGACAGAGAAGCACTCACGTATCAAGACGTTGTCGATGGATGGCCCTCGGAGGATCGGAAGAATGGTTTATCCTCACCCGATTAAGAATAGGCCATGCGAGGTTGACACACGAACACTTACTTTTGGGCTAAAGCCCGCGGGTCCGGCATGGAGAGAAAAGTTGCTCTCCGTATGTGTCCCACCTAATTGAAGGTTGCAATTCCTCGGCTTCATGCAGAGAGCGCGCAGGAACGCCGATTTAAGCATCCTTAATTGTGCTTCAGCACGGTAGCGAGTATTTAGGTCCCCCGTTCCTATTCAAAGAGGATACGGGGTTGTTCTATTGTACAGTAATAGAAGTTGTGTTGAGAGTGAATGTATTTATTAGCGTGAAAATGTGATGTGATAGGGCCGATGGCGGAATATCGAGTACCCGATCGACCTTCAATTAGCTTAGCTGTGTAATATGAGTAAAGGTTGTCGAGAGTGAATATATTTATTAGCGTGAATGTGTTATGTGAGAGGGCCGATGGCAGAATATCGAGTACTCCATCGACCCTCAATTAGTTCTACAATATGTGTAAAGGTTGTATTAAGAGTGAATGTATTTATTAGTGTAAATGTGATGTGAGAGGGTGGACGGCAGAATATCGTGTACTCCATCGCCTTAATTGAATGAATGTATTTCAGAATGAACGTGAGTACGAATGGGTTTGGAACTGCATGAGTTTGGTGCAGAATTGACCTAGCTGTTGATAGCACCTGGACCCCAACCTCGGTGGGCTGGAGAGAGACTGAGGTCTGACCCCGGTATGGTATGGTATGGTATGGTGAAAAAGGAAGCGGGGTTTGCACACCCCAGGCACTGCAGCCTTCTGGCTTATTGTACCTTCCTAGTTGCTTAGTTCAGTGCAATAGACTCAATCCTTCTTCTTAGAAGTATCAGGTCATTGACTGTCGCTTGTGCAATTTGATTCCCTAAGTTTTTTCTGTACGTTAGGTTAAATCTCCATTGAGCTGTGGCTTCGCATTGGAAGATGATATGAATGGCTGTTTCATCCTCCTCATTATATAATCTGCAAATGGAATCATAGCTGTACATATCCATGTTGTGTAGATGGTTTTTCAGATGCCAGTGACCGGTTAGTAGTCCTACCACTCCTCTGAGTTTGGCCCTCTCCAATTGCAGCAGTGCTTTTGCCATTCTTGGTGAGGGTTGTTTCATCATAAGTTTACTATGTCTAGCACCGCTAGAGTTTATCCACTTCTTTTGTTTTGTTTGGATCCATTCTGCGATGGAGGATTCTATATTTGTTTTCGTTATCCCAAGAACAGGTTCGGGTCCTATGTATGGTCTTGCAGATCCTCCCCTGGCCAGCCTGTCCGCCTCTTCGTTACCCAAAATTCCCCTGTGCCCTGGCGCCCAAGATATCATCAGGTTGTTGTGTTTCCCCAGGTTTTGGAGATTTTGGATGCATTCACTGACTAATTTTGATGTGATTCTTTCACATGCTAATGCTTTAATGGCTGCTTGGCTATCTGATCTTATGAGGATGTCTGACCCCGAACTGCCAACACCCGGAGAGGGTGATTCTCGAGTCAGCCGGCAGTTTACTGTAAAAAGCAAAAGCTGGAATTGCCGGTGGACTAAGAGAAGTGAATAGCTCGACTTGGCACATGTTTGTTGTTGCTACGTAGTTTACTATATTTTTTAAAATCTTATACTCTTGGTTGTTAGAATTTTGAATGAATCCAAGTTCCAAAACGTATTCTCAGTTTGAAATTTACAAATTCACATTAATCAGTATTTTACCACTTTTTGAATAAATAATGGGGTTTTATTTGATTTTACCCATTATTTTTAAACTTATCTTAATAATATACTTAATCATAATAATACTTAGCTTAATCAATACACTTAGCCTTGGTGTGAATTTAAAGGAAATTGGAAGTACTAGACAAAGCTACTTCTGCAATTTAATTATCATTGCAAATTGTATCTTAAATGTTTTTTCAAATAAATCAATCATCTAACTATAACAATAGTCTGAGGCTTAAAGAGTCATTGATGATTTTGTTTTAAATTGTTGTTCAAATTGTTTATTCGATATCTTCTAAGAAGAGTGTTGAGGAAATCTTTGGAAGAAGACTTTGGGCTGAAATGTTTTTGTTTGTCCATGGATTTTGGTCTGAACGTAGCGGTCCACCGGCAGAAGACGAAGAAGGAGGATCACTGTTGTCAGTGATGACGGAAGGTGATGGTCGGCGGCGAGAAGGAGGGATTGGACCCTGTCTCGGATTTGCCCGTGGGACGTCCTCCGACGAGTGGGGGAGCGAGATCCCTCCCTCGGCGACACCCTCTGCAGCACCCCCACGGTGTCCCAACGTCGTCAGTTGGTGTGTTCAGTGAGGTGCGTCGAGATGTCCTCGCCGACTGGAAACCAGAGTCCACCGGCTCAGAAGTCCGACGACAACAAGGAGATCAGCGACGCCGTCGCCAAGGTCCTCCGGGGATATGACTGGACTCTCGTGCCCATAGCGACCAAGTAAGTCCTCTCGGTCTTTCCGACCCAGATCCGTTTTATCCGTTAGGCCATCAACAAAAATCTATCCTCAAAAGGATTTGTATTTCGTTTCCCATAAAATGCTTAAATTTCATAATATGTCACAAGTTTTCTTTGACTTAGTCTTCTCGCGTACGGGATTTGTCGCAAGTTGGTAAACACGATGGTCGTGTGAATTGTTTAAGCCCGGACGTGCTTCGCATGCTGGTCTCGGCTCGTTAGCACCTCCGTCCGAGCTACCGTCGTCGACAAACGGGACGGCAAACATAGTTCAAACGTCCTTCCCAATTCGCACCTCTCACTCGGTGAAAATGCAACCGTGTATAACGAGAAAGGAAACGGTCCGCCGTGACCAAACTTCTTGGGCTGGTATAACTCGATGATCATCCTCCTTGTCAGTTTACTTTTTATCCTCAAACTAGATATAATTTCACATCGTGGGCAGCACAAAGGACCCTATCTAGAAGTAGGGAGGACCGACGGCCATCTGGTAGAAACTGAAGACTCTTGTACCAGCACGAGAAATCTTTTGGCACTGCTCGCGGTCTTTGACGAACAGCGTGAACCGGCTCGGAAGAATTCGACTGCTTTTCTCAAAACTAAAGAAAATACTTTATTTGAAAAGTGTCTTTTGTGATTCTGGCCACCGATGAATGACAAACCGACCGAGATCCGTCAAACTCGAATCAGGTGGTTCAATTGATCTTTACAAAGTCATCACTGAATGTGCAAGAATCTTTTGTATCTGGTCGTTATTAATCGAAGAACCGATTCGAAGTCACCATATCAAAATAATAAAAATTTGATCTATAGTCTATTGACGAAGATTCGAAATTGCTGGACACTCCGATTTTCACTTTTCGTCCTTCATCCCAAAACAGTTATTCTTCTTGTATTGGGACGTCGCGTATTTTTTGGCCGGCTTCCTCTTTCCGCTTTTATCAAATATTGACCCTGAGATAGAGCGCCGAGAGGTTAAAGACGGGGCAGATTACTATTATCGGAAGGATGTGGGAGATTATCGAAGAAATATCGGGAAAAAAACCGACACCGTGTTGAATTATATCGCTAAGCTGAAATCCTGGTAATCTTAACACATTGAATAAACCCGTCTTGTAAAGTGGAAGAAGATGCAGAAAAAATACAAAGATTTTATCAACAAGATTATATTTTTGCATATAAAGAGCATATGCGCGTATGTGTGTACACATACATACAAATTTTCTTAATGTTTTTTTTCCAGAAGAAGGAAAAAGTGAAATTAAAATTATGTATATGCAACTCAGATCAGCTATATATCTTTCAATCCCATTTACTGATTTCTGTCTTCATTTCTTTCTCTCTCTCTCTCTCTCTCTCTCTCTGCCAAATACACGAACACATATATTTTTGCAAAAGAGGACATTTTTGAAAAAATAAATTTAAAATTATATTGCATATACAACTCAGATGGTTTATCTATTTTTCAATCCAATTTGCTGATTTTTGTCTTCATTTCTTCTCTCCCTCTTTCTCTCTCTCTTTCTTTCGTTCTCCCTGTTTTTCTCATTCTCTCTCTCCCTCTCATACGCGCGCACACATCACACACAAACACACACACACTCACACTCCCGTACGCACGCACACATACAAATTTTCCTAACATATATTTTGAAAAAAAAAAAAAAATAAGTTTTATGNCTCCCCCCTTCTCTCTGTCACACACATATGCATACACATTTTCTTAACATATTTTGCAAAAGAGAAAAAAAAATTAAAATTACACGTACAACTCAGACGAATTATCCATTTTTTTTACATTTGCTGATTTCTGTCTTCATTTCTTCTCTCTCTCTCTCTCTCTCTCTCTTTCACACACAAACACACAGATACAAATTTTCTTAACATATATTTTGCAAAAGAGAAAAAAAATTAAATTTGGAATTATATATACAACACAGACATCCAACTTTCTCCCATATTTGCTGATTTCTGTCTTCATTTCTCCTCCATCTCACTCTCTCTCTTTCTTTCTTTTTTCCCTCTCTCTCTCTCCCTTTTCATTCTATCTTTCTTTCATTCTCTCTCTCTCTCATTTTCCCTCTCTTTCTTTCTTGATCTCTCTGTTTCTTTGTCATTTTCAATCTCTCTCTCTCTCTCTCTCTCTCTCTCTCTCTCTGTCTCTCTCTTTCTTTCTCTCTCACACGCAAACACAGAGATACAAATTTTCTTAACATGTATTTTGCAAAAGAGAAAAAAAATTAAATTTAGAATTATACGTACAACACAGACAAGTTTCTCCAACAGAACACGACAATCTTTCTCCCCCAATTGCTGATTTCTGTCTTCATTGCTCCTCCTTCTCTCACTCTCTCTCTTTTCAATCTATCTTTCTTTCTTTCTATCTGTCTCTCTCTCTCCCCTTCTCTATGTCACGCACACATACATACACATTTTCTTAACATATATTTTTCAAAAGAGAAAAAACACTTAAAATTTCATATACAACTCAGACAAATTATCCATCTTTTTTTGCCATTTGCTGATTTTTGTTTTCATTTCTTCTCCTTCTCTCTCTTTCTTTCTTTCTCTATGTCTCTTTATTTCTCTCACTGTCACACACACGCATAAAAATGTTCTTAACGTATATCTTTCAAAAAAGAAAGAATATTTAAAATTACATAAAGAAGTATGACGAGTAATATACCTTCTTCTCCGATTTGCTGATTTCCACGCCATTTCTTCTCTCTCTTCTCTCCTTTTCTTTCCCTCTCTCATTCCCTCTCCTCTCTGTCACACACACAGATTTTCCTAACATGTATTTTGTAAAAGAGAAAAAAACATTTAAAATTTCATATACAACTCAGACGAATTATCCATCTTTTTTTGCCATTTGCTGATTTCTGTCTTCAGTTCTTCTCTCTCACTCTCTTTCTCTCTCTCTCTCTATGTCTCTTTATTTTTCTCTCTATCACACACGCATAAAAATGTTCTTAACGTATATTTTTCAAAAGAGAAAGAATATTTAAAATTACATAAACAAGTATGACGTGTAATATATCTTCTTCTCCCATTTGCTGATTTCTATCTTATTTCTTCTCTCTCTTCTCTCCCTTCTTTCNGGTTATTCCTATTTTGCCGAGCCCAGCGGTTTTTCCATTCTTCTTTTAATGTATTTGAAATTAATAACTTGAGATCCGCTGGGCGTATTTGTTGGGAAGCAACGAGTAGTATTCGACATTCGCGAAAGAAAATAATAAAATTAGGGAAGACCTAAACAAAAAACTATTTCATGTTTTATTTTGTATGTACATTGTATATTTTCGAATCTCATAATAATGATTATATCTGCAATTACTCAGATATTGCATTGACATCCAACCAAATATCAAAACTATTAAAGACATTCTTACAAAAGTTGGCATTAGGAGTACAGATTAAAGATACCGATATGAACATCTATCGTTCATCATTCACCCTTGGAAGGAAAACCCTTCGTAAATTATTCGTCGGTAATATTCCCATCTCAAAAACTGCATCCGCTAACTTGGGTTCCGTCTAGACGCAAGACTAACTTGGAACCAACACACACGACTAAAACGACAGGCCACTCAAACCAACGTTTCGGACTACGGAATAAACGTTGGTTTATTACACACGGTGGGCGACCAAGACCCGAAGGGTTAAATGCCTGGGTAGACTCGTACCCTATCCCTAAAAGGTCCGGGACTTGGTCGGCTCACATGTCCTGCATAAATCTCTAGGACTTGTTCACAAACCCCAAGATTTTGGACCATTTTATCTCCGGGAGTGATTGGGTGATGTCCACTCCTTCAAAGATTTCAAATTTGGACCTAGCATACCCTATCGTACACTGCGAGGTAGTGCCTTGCCGTTTCTTCTATTATTTCGCAAAAAAGGCAAAAAGGATCTGGTAGAATACCCATCGCAAGTCTAACGTTTCAACCAAAACCTAACTGACAGTCTACAACGCAATACAAAAACCAATCTTGACGTACAGGACAACCTTCTAACATCCAAGGATTCCTTCCAATCCAAGTCCTCAGAATCATAGTCAATGCTCCTTACGTCTCCCACACCCTTCAGAGTGACCTTAAAATCCCACCCGTACTAAAAAATAACACCAAAAACATTTCCACTTCCCATACTAAACTCTTCTTTCACTCCCAGTTGGCCAATCTTTATCCAATAAAAAACGCCACTATAATCCCACCAGACGACTGACGAGGATTAGCCCTTGGGTATAGCTGGGAGAACAAAAATGGTTGTTAACTCCCCTCACGACTCATGATCCTTGTCATTAGTAAATTAAACTCATTACAAATTGTAAACAATGAATGTATTAAATAAAAAAAAATATCTTAGACAATCTTCCATTGATTATCTTGGCCCGTTTTAAAGGATTAGTGGTAAATAAAACACAGATAAAATCTCCCAATTGTGTTTACAGTTGTATTTTGTAAATAAATCATTGAATAATCAATCTCAACCTTGTTGATTTTTCTGTAAAGATTCTTTCTAACGTTCCATTTTTATGTTTCAAATCTGTTTGAGAGGTGGTTTTAAGTGATACAGAATCAGCTAGAATTGTTGGAAGATGGAGGAAGTCTATGTGGCCAGGGTGGTTAACATTCCCAGAACTGTCCGAAGGGTCTTCCATAGCTACCACTGGATGTCGCTCAAGAAGTCATGGTCGCCTGTCACATCTCAGAGAGAACTTATCTTAGACAATCTTCCATTGATTATCTTATTTGGTCCGTTTTTAAAGGATTAGTGGTAATTAAAACACAGATAAAATCTCCCAATTGTGTTTACAGTTGGATTTTGTAAATAAATCATTGAATAATCAATCTCTCTCTTATTGATTTTTCTATAAAGCTTCTTTCTAACGTTCGATTTTTATGTTTCGCATCTGTTTGAGTGGTGGTTTTAGTGGTACAGAATCGGCTAGAATTGTTGGGAGATGGAAGAAGTCAAGTCTA